CGAGGGCTTTGAGCGCGGCGACCGAATCAAGAAATTCCGTAATGAAAATAAAACCTAACACCCCCCACTCCGCCTACCGTGTAGCTCGCGTTCAACACATTCATACGTTGCGCTTGTATAGTGTTTGTGAATAAGCGCGCGGCGTGACGTCGCACTGCATGCGCATCATGAAAAGTCTGCCCATCTCTCTCTCGCGCGCTCTAGCTTATGAGTGTGAAGGGGACAGTTAATGTTTTGCTTTTGTTAATGTTTATAAATATAGCGTGGTCTTATTTTATTATTGTTTTAATATTAAATTATTATGGTCTAATTATAATTGTATAAGTTAATAAAAAAATGCAATAGCTTTACCGCGGCAGTCCCTGAGTGCCACACGTGTTTTTTATTTCTAGAAAAATAGACTTTCGGAGTATGTAATATTATATACTAGTTGAAAAATGTACTTAATAAAAAAAGACTTTTAATGAAAGACAACCGACCGATCGATGTCCAATCGCTATCTCCTAACCCGTACGTAAATAAAAGTGAATTGTGTTTTGTTACGTATTTACAATTTAAATATTAAATGTAATGACTAATAAGTAAATGTGTACTATATATAATACCTGGGATAATCTGGATTGCGGCCAACAAAATAGAACTTGATTAATTATTACGCTCGAAGTCTCCAAGTAAAGAGAATATTATGTTAGCGTTGTTGCATCGTAAAATATAGCGCAAAAGAAAACTTGTCACAGCACTTTAATGCTGTTTTATGGCTTTGCGTGTTAGCATATTTATTGCCGGTTCATGTCTAGGTTTCAAATGGAAATGAGACTGAAAACTATAAAAATGTTTAGATTGTTCCAAGAAAATCATAAATATCGCAAAACTGATTTCAATACATTCAAACATCGCATAGGCTTAGTTAAAAACGATTTTGAAATATCACTGAATTATTTGCTCTCGTTTTCTATGTGATATGTATTTATAAAATTTTAAATATCATGTCAAAGTGATATATATCTGTACTACAGATTTTTGTACGGTTTTATCTCGTGTTTATTGTTTTCATTTAATAATTTCCGAATTGAAGCTTCGATTACTATTTCCCGATCACGAACCGTTAAGGTGTCATTTTTAAATTTTTTTGTGTTATGTTTACTGCCATCTATTGCATAATATATAAAAAGAAATTTTTACCGTTTCCTAACACACCAAAAGAAAGAACAAATTGTATAATGAGATTAATAAATCCAAGATTAGGCAATGAGCAGTTTTAATAACAATTTATTGAGGAAATCTAACTATACTATATTAAATTGTTTTCATCTAGTTTACTAGTATTGCAATTTGACGTTTTCTTTTTTAAATTTAACCAAGTATATCCGGATTTAATCCTCGTATAATAATATCAAGTGCTTAACTATATTGCGTTGAAATATTAATGATGGGTATTAATTAAGCGGACAATAAAAATAATTTTTCCCCTGTATTTTCTGAGATACGTGACCGACAGTAACCACTTTATTTTTTATTGCTTATATGGGTGGACGAGCTCACAGCCCACTCGGTGTTTAGTGGTTACTGAAGCCCATAGACATCTACAACGTAAATGCGCCACCCACCTTGAGATATAAGTTCTAAGGTCTCAGTACAGTTACAACGACTGCCCCACCCTTCAAACCGAAACGCATTATTGCTTCACGGCAGAAATAGGCGGGGTGGTGGTATCTACCCGTGCGGACTCACTAGAGGCCTACCACCATTAAGTACGCAAATTATAATTTTTTGATGATGTTATTCCTTCACAGTGGAAGTCAATCGTGAACATTTGTTAAGTACGTATTTCATTACAAAAAATAATCATACACATTAATTACATTAATTAATAAATTACTTACAATAAGTTACAGCCTATGAGGTAACGAAATCAGCTTTTGTTGTATTGAATTCGCTTCAATGACGACATAATGGAGTGTTGGCAAATTTTAATGGTGATGGCAATTGCTTATTGTCACTTTTACAACATTTATTCGAAATAAATGCCGTCAATTACTTTTTTATTGAATAGGGAGACCAAGCTGTGTCCCAATTTGTCAGTGGTCATCGCTCATTGACCTCAACAATGCTATAGTCACACATTCAAGCTGCCTTTTTTGTTATTCTTTAATATTATTATCTATTTCAGTGTTTTATTCTTATTAAAGACTAGCTGACCCGGCAGACTTCGTAGTGCCTCAATCGATAAATAAAATACCTAAGCTTTTGTATAAAATAAACTTAAAACGAACAAAAGGAATCCGTCCGACGGGGGACACATCAAAGGGAAAACAAAATTGTTATTTTTATTTAATTCCGAGAATATTCATATTTATCTACCTTTTAAATCTTCTCTGGACTTCCACAAATAATTCAAGACCAAAATTATCCAAATCGGTCCTGCCGTTCTCGAGTTTTAGTGAGACTAAAAACAGCAATTCATTTTTATATATATAGATAGATAGATAGTATGAAAAACGATAAGACCGTTACGTAAATACGTCCCTTCTTTTTACTTCATTACTGGGCATCATGATCATCTGCTGGTTGATGTTGTGACTACATCTATGGTGATTGTTAGTGTTTTGTAAGGCTAGAGCTTGGAATTAAGAGATAAACGGATTTAGCTCGCAAATCTAATGCCTCTGGTAAACTGGTAATGGTTCAATTGCCGCAGGCTATGTATGTTGTTCCCGACTACCATGTGATCACAACTACGATAAACGTTTGAAGTTATAAAACAAAATAATAAATAATTGTAAAAACGTTTATTATATAGCGAAATAAATAGCTCTATTTATTCAATCAAATCAAATTTGGTAGGCAGCGACTTGGTTCTGTCTCTGGCATTGTTGAAGTCCATGGGCGACGGTAACCACTCACCACCAGGTGAGCCGTATGCTTGTCTGCTGTATATATCCAATAGTTTTTTTTTTGTTTTATCAGTTGATCAGTAGTTTATTAGAGGATTGAATTATGTGAATCCTTCACAAGCTTCAAGGCCTTTATGGTATAGAAGAAGTATGTGAGCTTTGTAGGTGAAATTTTGCCTTGAAAAATTGAGTTACCTCGATGTATGTACGTATGTGCTCTTACTTTATAATTGTGTAACCTTGTTATAATTCTTTATAACATTAAAATCAGTTAAATTAGTTAGTGAAATTGTGGATTAAAAATAATTAAATACTTAATTCTGTAAAATAATAAATGTATAATATTTATCTATTGCAAACAATACAAATAAACATCTTGACTTTCTTTTATTTTGAGACTAGTGAATCTGATATACATATAATACATATCGACGTTTGAAAGGCAAACGTGACTAAGCTACAATAACTGCTTTGTACATAAATGATAGGCAATAACCATATTCGATGCGCAAAAAATATATATTTCTAGGTCTATTAGAATCATTTCAATCCTACAGCTACTAGCTAGATTCTACTACAGCTAGATTCGTTAAAATAAATTTTGTTTTCAGGTATTTCAACTTTAAATTAGTCTACTGTAAAGTTCACGCATTGTCGCAACTTCTATAACGAAATACATATTTGTCGAATTTGCTCGTGCGCGCTCTATCGTACGTTGACCGTATTACCGTTGAAACATTTTCTTTAACGCCAACAAAAAAAAAATTACAAAGCTTTAAAACAAGGAATATGCGCATAAAAACAAATAATAATAAAAACTTTCAAATCAAGTGTAAGCTGAGAATGAAACTATAAAAAATATATATTTCATAATTATACAATAGATTTTTATGGACAGTTATTATCCGTGACCACAAAGCTGAATCCGAAACGAAGGAAATGTCAAAATTAATAGATGTAATAAATGCGAGGTTGTTCATAGAAGCGTTGTAAGTTGAGAATTAAAAAGAAATCAACAAGGTTCATAAAAATATATTTAATGAGGTGTTGTTGTTTTTTTCGCTGAAGATATTTGATGTATTATTCTGTAGGCCATTATATAATTTCTTTTTTTTTTTATGATTGAATGATTAATGGTAGCTCGGAGGCCTTTCCAGTTTCATGAGGACAGGTGGGCGAGCAAAGGCTCAGCCAGGAGGGAAGAATATATAATTTTGTACATTTACCATGAATCTCGACATATGACTGTGTTGATACTGATGAGTTTATCACTACCTCATCTCTTCCCGCCTATTTCTGCTGCGATGCAGTAACGCTTTCGATGTGAAGGATGGAACAGCCATTAACACTGGTGGTAGGCCTCTTGTGAGTCCTCTCGGGTAGGTGCCACCACCCCGCCTATTTCTGCCGTGAAGCAGTAATGCGTTTCGCTTTGAAGGGGGGGGGGAGCCGTTTTGACTTCATATACTGAGACCTTAGAACTTATATCTTAAGGTGGGTGGCGCATTTACGTTGTAGATGTCTATGGGCTCCGGTAACCACTTAACACCAGGTTGCCTGAGGTCGTTCACCTATCTAAGCAATAACAAAAAAAAAAACACTATACAATTGAAACTTGACCTCATGTCTCAAAGTGGGTGCCGGCGCTCACGATCTGATGTTTATGGACAACGTTAACCGCCAAACGCACGTTGGACTATGAGTTCGGCGAGTAATTAAATATTTTTGACTTGATGCGCTTAATTCCCGAAATACATAGATTGATAAATGCATGGTCATATTGTACGTTAGTGTTGGNGTCTATGGGCTCCGGTAACCACTTAACACCAGGTTGCCTGAGGTCGTTCACCTATCTAAGCAATAACAAAAAAAAAACACTATACAATTGAAACTTGACCTCATGTCTCAAAGTGGGTGCCGGCGCTCACGATCTGATGTTTATGGACAACGTTAACCGCCAAACGCACGTTGGACTATGAGTTCGGCGAGTAATTAAACATTTTTGACTTGATGCGCTTAATTCCCGAAATACATAGATTGATAAATGCATGGTCATATTGTACGTTAGTGTTGGGTTTTGTTTTTAACAGAATATTTTTATTTCAGAGAGTTGGGGTCAATCTGACGGTCATCGTTTCACATATCCGGCATCTCCACTGCTCACTCAAGGAGGCGACGTGGGACCCAACACTTTGTGTCCTGAAGGGCCCGGTGAGGGCGACGAATGCGTCCATGTTAAAAATATTCCATTGTATTCTACCGTGGAAATTGTTATGTTTGATCAAGGTAAGCCGGTTCGCAAATTACCATTGTTTTCAGCTGTTTAGGTTGTTCTTTTGATTTCATTGCATAACGGAGTCCATAGACATCAAATTGGAACGCACTATTGCTTCGCGATCAACATAAGCATAATGTATCCACGAAGCTGACTTACAATATGCCCTATTACCGTGTTATTCTATATGTAACAATGATTGAATTCCCTATGAACTAGGTAAATTAGTAAAAATCCTAGTCTGGCTAATGTTAAGTAGAAATGGTCCGTTTAAGTACATATAAAGATGTAGGTATACTTTTTTATTATTATCTAAATTATATTAGTTTTTTTATGTATATACTTGTTCACATAAATTAAATACTTCATATTATATATACTACATAACATCACATAAAAAATATAAGTTTCTCCACAGAATTTCGACAGCTTAGCAAAGTGATTCGTAGTATTTAAATTCAAGTTTTGCGTCATTTAATGAATTTTATTCGTAAAGGCTCATATAAATAAAATGAAAATTATGAGTTAAAATGAAACAATTAAATTACTATAATTAATGTTAAAATATTAATGGCGTTAGAAAGTATGAAAGTATGTTTATTAAAGAAAGTTCTTTTTATATAATTTTAATTCATAAGTATTTTCTGTCCACCGGAATATCATGATATTCTGTAATATAGTACAGTACAGTAATTCTGTACCTATGGTTTTTCTATATGTCTTAACAAAATAATACAGACTAGAGGTCCCGCAGTAGTCGAAATTCGACTATAATTAATTGGAATTGTAAGTTTGCACACTATTATAATTGTATTTTATACTTCTATAATCACAAATTTTGCCAAGACTACACTATAAAAAATATTAACAAAGACAAACAATATTTAATCTATTTGACAACAGACGTCAAGAACAAAAGTTTGACAATAAATAGTATGCATGCGTGTGTGCATCAAATACATGGTATGTAGTATGTGTAATGTTTTCTTTATTGATTTAATGTGTCTTTTATGAATTATTTAAAAAAAATATTAGCATTGTGCACTTCTTCTCTATATTCTCTTATAAGTGTGGAAAATTTCATACTCCTCCGTCCACGCAATTTTCGTAAAAAGGGATACAAAGTTTTTGCTTCACGTATTAATATATAGATATGTAGTACCAATTCGTAATAGCCTGACTGACATATTTCTAGGAACTTTCTTAGTCCAGACCTGCGTTCAATCCGAAAGCAACACTTTCACAATCGATCCAATCATGTAACAGTACGAAAACACTAATTGAGTTATAGCCGTGAAATTAAGAATGAAAAGCATATTTCTATTAATAATTCGGTTACACAAATTACGACCGCAACGATTCCAAGGTCGTTGAATAGTAAATTTATTCATAACCGGTTTTCGATATGGAAATGACCTTGTAAATTGTTTGTTTTGTGTCGAAAGAATTAATTTGATAGTGGCATCGCTTAAAGTAGCAGCTTTGGCAATCCAATTGTTTGGTGAACTCAATGTTTGTTCAAAATAAGGACAAGGTTTTTGGTGCAATGAAAGGGAATTTGTATTGTATACTGACCGGTCTTACATATACTTATATATTAGATGCAAATTTAACTTTACTGGACACCTAAATAAGTATAATTAATTATTAATAATAATAAGTTATTGTAAAATAAAATTTAATTATAAATTATCATTATAAATATTATTATAATGAATATATTAGACTTGTCTCTGGCTTAATAACCGTCGACAAGTTTTATAAATTAAGTAACATAGGATCACCTAGTCCCAAATTAAGATTTACTGTACTGTGGGTACCAGAGACTGATATACATACTTATGTACATTTAAATATATACATTGTTACGCCGATAAGAGTAACGCCATCTGTCGTCGAATAGTAGAAAAGAATATCAAAAGAACAATATATAGATAGTAAACACCCAGATAAGTCTCAAACAAGTCCTCCCTCCCTCCCCCCAACAATCAAGTCCTGTTCATCACACGAAAGTGTGCCCAATGTAGGAATGGAATCCACGATCCTCAGTGCATCAGTCAGGAGCTCTAACAACTGCACCACCGAGTCGGCCATTAAGTGAAATTACATTTCATTTTTCACTGCATAAAATTTTGGCGACGAACTCACAGGCCATACAATGTTAAGTGGTTACCAAAGCCGCGAGGTGGAAGTATCAACAACGTTGTACCACGTAATCTCTACCTCTCAAATAAAACCAATGGATGCTTCGCTGGTTTTTTTCCCCCCCATCTATGCTGATGGCCTTGAGAGGCTATTTCAGCTTCGCCCTAACGTGTGTAGGGCGAGAAACTCAGTGGGCTGTGTCTATGGGTTAATTCGCTCGTCGAGCCCTTCGTCGCAAGCGACGAGTTCGACGAGGACGATGACCGGTGCTTGTGGTGCCTAAAAGCACCTTTAATGGATTGGGGGGATCCGTAATGACGTGCTTTGAGCGACATCGACTGTTTACCATTCGGGCATTCGCTGCAGAAAAGAACATAATATATGTCCAGTCACGTGAGCTTACACCACGTTCTACAATTCTCATCATTAGGGCAAGAATGTTTCTAAAAAAAGAGGGAATACAGTATGAGTTAAGAATGCAATAGCAGCAGCAGTGAAATGGTCGGAGTCATGTGTTTATATCCCTAGTGAATCACTGCCGAGTAATGATGAAGAAGTATACCTAGTAATCCTTTGATATAATTTTATAGTATAGAATCGTAATATTATTATTTTTATTTTTTATTGCTTAGATATGTGGCCGAGCTCACAGTCCACCTGGTGTTAAGTGGTTACCGGAGCCCATAGACATCTACAACGTAAATGTGCCACCCACCTAGAGATAATTATAAGTTCTAAGGTCTCAAGTACTCGTATAGTTCATTCCGATTTGAGCTACCGACGCGCGTGGACGTGCTCATTGTTCGTTCGATTGCCCGACCTCGGTTCGTGGCACATCTGGCGTCCAAGTGTTTTGTCGGAAGTGACTACCGGTGATAATAGATCATTGTTCGTGGCACATCTGTGGCCCAAGTGTTTCTCGGAATTTGTACCTGCGCCTAATTACAAGGCATTGCCGCCCGNAACCCATGCATCAGCCCGCTGAGTTTCTCGCCGGATCTTCTCAGCGGGTCGCGATTCCGATCCGGTAGTAGATTCATTCGCGAAACAATTGCTCTTGAGTTGTTAGGTCTCCTTCGGAGGCGCTCGGGCGGTTGTTAGCAAATCCCACCCCTCTTGGCTGAGCCTTTGCTCGCCCACCTGTCCTGGTGAAACTGGAAAGGCCTCCGGGCCACCAGTAATCTTTCAATCATAAAAAAAAAAAAAAAAAAAAAAAAAAAAAAAACTCGTATAGTTAGTATATTATCAGCCTATTTAATAGTGTCAGTGTCGTAATAATAATGACGCTTAATATTTTGACATAATGCCTGATTGTCGTAGTTTTTTTTTTTTTTAGCGAAGTATATTTTATAGGTAGCTTGGATTTCTATTGTAAAATATAAAGATATATTTACAGAAGGCGTTATAACGTGTCCGCGTTGTATGTCCACAAAATTTGAGTAAATCTTGTCTGAGTAAACACTTTAGATTCTTTAATAAACATTCTTCAAACCGCTCAGCTCTTTGTGATGTTTTGGCGTTAATATTTTTTAGGTGATTGATTTTGGGTGATTTTGAAAATCTTTAGTCGATATTTGGAAGTGATAGAGAGTAAAATTTATTGCGGCTTTTAAAAATACGGCTACTCATGGAAATTGATTTAATGTATAATAATTAAAACTCAACGCTCATCATGAGTAAATCAAAAGTTTCCTTGTGAATTTCGAATATGAGGTATTACTTTTTACTTTTAAAGATTCGAAGTTAATATTGGAGACAGTTTAGATCGGTTTGGGGTCAAGATACGTACGTGTCTTTGTGCAAACTACAAAGTTTCTCGGAAGGAAGTTTCTCGGAAACGCTTAATTCTCCATATATTTTTTATTGGTATAAAAGGCATATGACGCATGTGTGACCTGATCGAGAAAGACCGATCGCTTCTTATCACTAAACTAGCGACCCGCCCTCGCTTCGCTTCGGAAACATTAAAACACACAAAAAAAAAATTAAAAAAAGTAGCCTATGTTCATCAGGGACAATGTCGGCTTCTAATGGAAAAATAATTTTTCAAATCGGTCCAGTAGTTTCGGAGCCTATTCGAAACAAACAAACAAACAAATCTTTCCTCTTTATAATATTAGTATAGATTCTTCCCAAATACTTGAATCAGAATATTTTGTAAAACGGATCACCTGAACATTTTCATGTGGAAATATTGTTTGGAAACAAAGAGAGGGAGAGGGTGTGATTTATTGTAAATAAAAATGCAAAACATGAAATACAAAAAAGTACAATGGGCGGTCTTATCGTTAAGAGAGATCTCTTTCAGACAACCGTCAGGTAGACAAGAATTAATTCAGGTAATAAATTACCCGCGGTGTACTTATCGATTGTAAATGTATATATGTACAATGATAATTTTGCTACTTTACACATAAAAAAGAATAAACAATTTACATACTGAACTGGAGGTAGTTGTAGATAAGCATGATGATTTTGCTAGGATAGTTGTTGCATAGGACGATGGATGAAGGAAATGTCATTTTATCGCTTGGAATAGACCTTGTGGAATAATATATAAATCATTAATGATAACAACTTGAATCCTCAACCGTATAAATAAATACGAAAATAAAGAATATTTTACTTGCACAATTCGTACTGCAAGGTTGAGTGGGTTCGTAGTATTGGGAGAGTGAATTCAATACGCAATATAAACTGCAATTTGAAGTAATATTTACAGACGAACCCATAATCACTGTTGAAAATTATATACAGTTGAAGATCAATGAAATTGATGCAACTTCAAGTTATTTTAATGTTTGTGAATTCGCACAGACGATGAAAAGTAAATATTTTTAACATCGTGTAGTATAGAAGTTCATTTATGTTTTCAAAATACTCATGTAGACACGTAAATGTAATTGAATGTTCCAATCTTAAGATCTTAAATGAGAAATGAAGACAGTAAATTCTCAGGGTAATGATTTCATTTTCTCTGCCGAAAAAAAAAAGAAAAATGGCTACGCTATCCTTAAAACTAATTTAAGACAAAAAATTCAATTCCATCGTTTGTACTGTACAAAGAAATCCTCCCGTCAAGTCAAAAACATTACTATCAATATGGCATATATTGGCCTTACATATAACCAATATTGAATAACCTTTCACAGTCGATGTTCTTGGCTAAGTAAGATAGATACGAAGATAATTTCTGTTTTCAAATGTATAAAAACTTAGTGAAAACAAATGTAGATGTCAAAAACGTTCGGTATGCAAATAAAAAGGTTTAAATAAAGATAACACGAAACCGCTTTTAAGCAAATCTCGTAAAAATAAAAAGTACTCATTATTAATAAAAGAGTTTTTTTTTACATTGCTTTGTCACGCAAAAATGGTTTTCATTTATGTTTATAGCAGAAAAAAAGTAAATTCTTTTATTACAATAAATTTTAAATGAAACAGGAATTTTAATTGAAATACTAATGTATTCATTTTTAGAAGACACTTGATCTTTGAATTTTTCTAATTAAAGTTAACTAGACCATTTAACTTAATCATCTATCTTTACTACTATTATTATTATGAATAGGGATATACATATATGTATATAAGGATCAACTATACAATTTGAAAGCAACCGATTAAAATATGTTAATTTTTATCTCATTGAGCTGACAAGCACGCAGACCACCAGATGGAAAGTGGCCACTGTCGTCCAAGTACACCAGGGCACCGCTGCGCTTAAACAAGCAAGCTCAAGGAAAGTGTCATAATTTATAAGTGTGTAGGGAAGAATAAGACAGCGTTCCATACATGTCTTTCCTTAAGATTGTTTGAAGCAATACAGCTCGTTAATTTTTGAGACGTGTCGTAATTTTCAATAAATATCCATTGTAGAAGTTCTTAGACATATTATGAATAGGAAGCTGTCAATTCTGTCTTGTGAAACTTGATTACTATCTATAATTATTAATCTTTTACATTTACTCTCAGATGATTTAACCTAATTGCTTGTTGACGGATGTGGATGACTTGCAGCAATAGGAATTAATTAAATGCCAGACATCAGTTTTCTTATGTACATGTCGGCCATTTTTATTTTGCATACTAATCACTGATATTAGTTTTGTGATTTAGTATTTCCTTCAGTTTTAGGCAGTCATAGACATAATGAAAAAGAAATTTTCGGTTTAATCTCACATTTTTCGTGAGCACACATGAACTAAGGTGTTATAGGATTATATTAAGTTACAGTGGCTATAAAATAATTTTAAGGTTATATTAATAATACGACATACTAATATAAAGACAGCAAAAAAAAGTGATTAAGCCGTAAAAGTAATTTTAATTACGTTTATTGCTTTTAAAAATGATTTTCTTAAATTTCGAGAAATTTATAATAGTATTCATAGTTCGAAAATTATATTCGCATGTGTCTGCAAGTCTTTGAAAAAAATAGTATCTTTAATTTTTAAATTATTTCATAAATTTGAAACATACAATCACAGATAGTTGTATAAAATGCAAATTTTTGCAGTTCAACCTTTTTTTTTAATGAGTGATTTTTTTAATGTCAAAACATACATTAGTATTTTTATTTATTTGAAATTTTTAAAGTTGAAGACTTAAATTTAATTTTGTACATGTTTGAATCAATTTTACTATATTTTTGAACAGTAGGTACATATTTTGCATATGAGAGTAATTAATAATTAAGATTAGTTTGCATGCATCATCCTCTTCTATTGTTTTTTGTATTTAAATTTTACCAACAACTTTCTCAATACATGTAATGACTATAATCAAAACGTCTAGGCTTTCGTTTTTAGGCATCAATCATTTCGAACGCTCAGATTCTAATCAGTACAACCATTAATTTATGTCTTAGTTTTTGTTAATACATACAAATGAGTCGTCTATTATCAAAGGTGGCAATCTGTGCATTTGGACGAAAATTTTTTATTGATATGTCAATACAGATTTATTTGAATATAATCGTCTCCTTCAAAGAATACGGTTCAAAACCTGCATTAAATAAAGGTTAATAGTTAACCTCTTATTTATCTAAGATGTCGTTCCGAAGAGTTTTGTGACTGCCAATGGAATACAAAGTCAATAATTCGTTTTTCTGATTTACCAATCATCGTCCAAAAGTCAGATTGCCGCCTTTGATAATAGTCGACTCAAATACATGAAAAGAGCTGAGGTAATTTTTTTGAAATGGTTTTTCTTTTAACGCTCTAGAATAATTGCGATTCATCAAGACGCGTTATGTAATGTTACACAACAGTTTTGAATTACGCGTTTAATATATTTAAAATTACATAAAGAGGTTAGGCATTGAGGAGATGTAAGTCTCCTGAAATTTGATCTAGAAAAAGAATATTTTTAGAAATACAGCTTATAAACGTTGAAGATACGTATTAATAGTTAAAATAGCCTATTATTATAACATAACAGCTAATGCTTCTTACTTCTAAAATTAACAACAAGTTTTTAGAGTTAAAATAAATGCATTTAATTTTTTTATAAACTATGCTTCACTAATTTCTCTCTAAGTATGCTGAAAGATCACCGAATGTGGATCAATCAAAAAATTATATTATACAATACAATTAGAACGAAGTTGTTCATGATGAATTTATGTAGTTTTTAAATATCATGATCGTGATATAGATTATGTTAGATTTTAAAATGTTTGACATAGGTTTTTTTTAGCTTTGAACTTGTTTTAACAAATTCATGGATACAAAAAATTAAAATTTCGAATTATTTATTTTCATTTGTACGATAATGATTCACGACAACCTAGGCTAAAGATTTCGAAGTTTAGAAAAAAAACGCGGTACTGAATTGTACACTTTTTTAGATGAAGGAATTTCTGTTGATTCTGTCTTTTTCAGCTTCACCAGAACGACGGTTTAATCAGAGTTACGACTCACGAAAGTCTTAAAGCTTAGTAATAGTAAATGTATAACAACGTTGACACAGTATTACAAAAAAATAACATCTTCTTATTGAAACCGAAGTGGATTTATATTATTTAAAATAGAAAGCAATAGTAAAGGGCCGTATAATGTTGGAGAGGCTTATTGTGATTTGATAGCCGCTAGTGGATATTGGACATCAAGCCCGTAATGGAAATTGAACATTCGACATTAAAACAGCAATAGTTATCATTGTGAAAGCTTTTATGTCACATACTTAAGGGCTAGTTAAATTAGTATTTTAAAGACAAGGAATCGCTTCTGAGAATCATATTGGAAGTCACGTTGAATATAGATGTTTACTGAGTGTTGGATCAGCGCTCTCCAGTAGATTTATTCATTTGAGACACAGATGTTCTGTAACATGGACCTGTTTGTGGTTTTTCTTTTATATAATGTCAACTTAAATAATTCACCTATACGATAAAAACATCGTTTAGTATTCCAAGCGAACGTTAAAATTGTACGAGCCGTGAGCTTCCACGAGGGACGCAATTAGGTTTGGATAATGAGGCAATTTCTTTTTATTGCAGGTGGCGAGTCGGACCACATTTTCCATCTGCACGGATACAGTTTCTACGTTACCGGAGTGAGGGAGTTCAACAGGAGTCTGAGTAAGGAAACAGTCATCAAAATGAACGAAGCGAACACGCTATTTATAAACAAGAATCTCATCAGACCCGTATTAAAAGACACTATCGTGATACCTAAATTCGGCGTAGTCGCGTTGCGGTTTAAGGCGGATAATCCGGGGTACTGGATGATGAGGGACGAAAGGTCGACCCACTGGACAAGAGGACTCGATTTCATATTAAAAGTGGGCGAACAAAGCGACTTAGTGCAGGCGCCTCCTGATTTTCCGAAATGTGGTTCATATGTCGGCCCCGAGTATTTTCTAATTTAAATTGTAAGCGTAGATATGCGTAAGACTTCGATGAGATAGTTTTGCTCAACTAATTTATTATTGTGATAATTTTAATGTTATGTAGATTTAATTATTGTTCATTTTGACAGTTGTCGTTTTTAATCTAATCAATCAAGTATGAAGTGTAGTTGTTCCAAGTATGTACTTAAATATCTTGTATTATTCGTGCTTTGCTCAAACTGATTTACGAGTAATTTAATAGTATAGTTTTACAACATTCCTAGAAATATTAAGTGCCGCGCCTTCAATCTAAAATGCTTAATTCAAGCAACAAAGACTGTATACGACATTTAAAAAAAATCTTTACATGTAAATAGATTATTGTTTTCAAATAATTGTTTTACTCATACCCTTTATACACTTTATAACAAAGTTTGTGAATGCGGAAGATTATAAGTTAATTGTGTTTAATATTATTCTGATATTGGTTCTAAGTACAAGCTCACGATAAATTTGGTATTAGGAGATATAGGAACTCATAGAGAATACAGCTTAAAATAATTGCTAAATAATAGTATGTAGCTTCTTCGGCTTTCGGGAGTTGTAGACATAGTCGAAACCACAATAGAATTTACGGTTTAATCGGAGATCAAAAAATAAATAATAGCTTAAAAAAACTAACATAATGCGCTTTTATAGAAAATCAGACTAAAAAATAGAAAATAAATCTTAATAAATTTGAATTAAAAATAGTGTAAGAAAAAAAGATTTTTACACTAAAAGCGTGGGGTGCATGGTATCAGTAGCTATAAATATTTTATGAACAGATATGAGTAGAAGGGTTATTTTGATAATATCCTGAAAAGCACCCCACGCTTTTTTTACAATAAAATATTTTTTTCTTACTCTATTTTTAATTCACATTTATTAAGATTTATTTTCTATTTTTTAGTGGGATTGTTTATAAAAGCGTATTTTGTTAGTTTTTTTAAACTATTATTTATTTTTCCTTTTTTTGATGAATTTTAATTTTATCAATTCTTTTTTATGTTAAATTGTCATCGGTCCTTAATAATACCACATTTCGAGCTAATCCGACGTTTTGAAGGGGGTCAAAATCATGTTCAAAGATTCCGTTACAAACATACATACTAACATACATACGTCTGAAGCTAATAAAAGCGTATTAAAAAGAAGCGTAAATATTCAGAAATATTTTTATAGAAAATAAGACGGTAGTTAAACTCAAATGCACGAATGCTGAATAACACCTTAGTCGATCGTGACCAAGAAAACTGTAAAAAAAATCCAAATTTCGGATATAGCATAACGCGAGATTAATCAGTAAAATTATAATCGTTTTAACCGGGATGATCTTTACAGAAATGTAGTCACCGTGGCTCATAGGCATCAAAATATGAATTGGTACTGGTTAATTCTACAACCAATACAAAAAACTCATGGCTGTTTTCAACTTGGGTGTACCTCTAGTTTTGTCGTTATTCAGTTTGAAATCTTGAAGTGCTTGTGAGTTAAATAGTGCGTAATAAATCGATAACGTTTTCGGTGTACGAAGAAATCAAGCAAAAACAAATTGGCTACAATTTCGGCTGTCGTCTGACACTGTGAAAGTGTTCGTCATTGGCTCCGCTATAGCGCCGGCAAAGACGTGGTCAGTACTTTAAGCGATGCCTTTGTTACTGTGACCTCAATAAGCCGAAACTTGTTGCCTCTTTGCGAGACAGCAAGCTTGAGTAATTTTAATATTGTAATAAAGATTTAATCTTCTACAAGCATTTATTGAATTTGGAATTACGTCGTAGTTCCGGAATGTGCATTAACAAGCAGATATTTTAATAACTGTGTGTGTGTTTAGAAGTCATGGTGGCCTAAAGGATAAGACGTCCGGTGCATTCGTATCTAGCGATACACCGGTGTTCGAATCCCGCAGGTGGGTACCAATTTTTCCAATGAAATACGTACTTAACAAATGTTCACGATTGACTTCCACAGTGAAGGGATAACATCGTGCAATAAAAATCAAACTCGCAAAATTATAATTTGCGTAATTACTGGTGGTAGGACCTCTTGTGAGTCCGCACGGGTAGGTACCACCGCCCCGCCTATTTCTGCCGTGAAGCAGTAATGCGTTTCGGTTTGAAGGGTGGGGCAGCCGTTGTGACTATACTGAGACCTTAGAACTATATCTCAAGGTATGTGGCGCATTTTACGTTGTAGATGTCTATGGGCTCCAGTAACCACTTAACGCCAGGTGGGCTGTGAGCTCGTCCACATATCCAAGCGATAAAAAAAAACCTGAGGTCGATTGCGGTGAAGTCTCGGCTGTCCTATTAAGAATTTCGCGTGAGAACCATGATTGGTAAAAATGTGGTGAGTATAAGTGGATTTTTTAAATTGATAAGTAGGTAATGTTTCAAATCATTGTCCGGGTTTTCAGATATATTTCACTAAATAGATAACACTTTATTTATTGATGTAAACGTTATATTTTTCTTTGTTTCTTATATTGATGTTACTATTGCGGAGGGTAGTTTATTATTTATATCTTTTTAAAATTCCGTATGATTCAAGTGAAAAACATAGAATAAATTATTTTCACAGTTGAAATTCGCCTACATTATCGTGATTTATCACATAATATGATTACTATGGGCTGATGATGTCTATGGGCTGATGGGAAACCACTTAACACCAGGTGGGCTGTGAGCTCGTCCACCCATCTAAGCAATAAAAAAAAAAAAAAAAAAAAACATAATAAAAATGATAGGTTGTATAATTTACAAGTTATTCCAATTGATTAACTTTGCAAAAACAAATAAATTTCAGGTATCTCTTATTGGGAATAACATCATCAGGCTACGCTATACACTTTTGGAGGGAGGTCTCCTCCCTAAAAGGAGTGGGTGCGGTTGCTATAGTTGCCACGCTTGGCATGAGAGCAGATGATCATAGTGTGCTGTCATAACACTCGTGGAATACTGCTGTCAATTCTCCGGAGAATCCCGAATACTCAACCGGTGCGAGTGGGAGGTAATACTTTTTTTTGAGGCCGTGACAACATAGCCCGATTAGAAAATTAAATGTAGTTTTTTAAAACAACGCAGTTCTTATTATATTATCATCTTAACTTTTTTTATTATTTTTTTATTGCTTATGTGGATGGACGAGCTCACAGACCACTTGATGTTAAGTGGTTACTGGAGCCCATTGAGATATAAGCTCTAAGGTCTCAGTATAATTACAACGGCTACCCCACCCTTCAAATCGAAACGCATTACTGCTTCACGGTGGAGATAGGCAGAATAATTTTTCTGATTATTCTAAAGTCAATGCTATCTATGTTTGCTCTATGATTTTTCTGTTCTGTTTTATCTCCCTGATAAGACAATTAAGTAAAACAATCGCTCATTATCAAACACTTTATGTAAGCCCCTAATTTTTCCCTTAAATTAAAATTCAATATTATGAAGATAAATTTAAATTTCGCATTAGCAAAATGAATTTACTAATAACGTAATATAATCCACAATCAGTATTCAAAGGCTTAGCCAACAAATTGACAATTATCGCCTGCTGTTGTAATTAATGCGAGCTCGATTGGATTCAGGCGGTTTGGTAAACCGAGCCTTTCTATGTTTTAGTTCATTTCACAGATCATTTTGTTTGTTCGAATACAGATTTAATATAATTCTAACCATAATTTAGATTCAAGTGTGATAGTTTAAAAAAACAAAACAAGTAATTAATTATAAAAACCGAGAAGTTACATCGTTCTTTATTTAAGTAAGCGTAAAGCACATTTTTGCGTTTCTGCATTAAGACATAATAAAATGTATTTTTTCTTTATTGAACTACGAAATGGTTGTTATTTTTTTTTATTTTTTGTTATTGCTTAGGTGAATGGACGAGCTCACAGCCCACCTGGTGTTAAGTGGTTACTGGAGTCCATAGACATCTACAACGTAAATACGCCACCCACCTCGAGATATAAGTTCTAAGGTCTCAGTATAGTTACAATGGCTATCCCACCCTTCGAACCGAAACGCATTACTACTTCACGGCGGAAATAGGCGGGGTGGTGGTACCTCCCCGTGCGGATTTACAAGAGGTCCTACCACCAGTAAAATATTATTAGAGGACATTGTGAATTCATTTTTCGCTTAAATTGACGTTTTCCATAATTAATTAATCATAGTATGTAAAATACTGTCTAACGCCAATAGCTGTTTGTGCCAATAGTGTCTGTTTGATTATTGTCGATTTTTAAAGATTGTGCAATTTGAAAAATTTCAAAATATCCGGTATTGACTAAAATAGCCATGCAAACATTTACTAACACGTTGTCTTTGTAACTAGCTCTCGTTTTGTTTAAATATATACGTATACGCATAGTTGTTGAGTGCTACAATATATGTTTACAAGTATTTCGAAACACTCATTTTGTTTCCAAGATATTCAATGTATTTTTTTGTTTGGATGGGTGAATGAACTTACAGCCGTTCGATTACTGTCCAACACAAGGTGGGCCCGGTCGTGAATTCATTGAAGTTTCATTCATTCATCATTCAGTGAAGAAGAGATAGTAGTAGAGAAAATTAATCGGAAAAACATCGAATTTGATACTTAAAAAGTTATCACGTTGTAAATTGTTTAATGGATTCAACTTATAATGGAAGACATGCGTATAAGGCTAAAATGTAGTTAGAGGTCGTTAAACTTTACGGTTTCAATGATAATAATGAAAGTAACGAAAATATAATGTTTAATTACAATAAAATCACCCGAGCGTCAGTCCGAAAAATACATAATGCAGCCATTTGAACAGACATTCAGATTATTACAGCAATACCGCTACCACCTTGAGACTTAGCCTTGAGGTTTTTACTGCATTAGCATAATATATAGTGGTGGATCAAGAGGTTCATAGACGTTCCTCATAGAGGTCAACAAATGAGCATTGGCTTTTTTTATTTTCGAACAAACATTTCTAAGCGATCTGAGTACAAAAACCAATTATCAATGAATAATAATTACCAGTATTTTTAATGCGTTTGACCTTGCTTGGCTGCGAAGACTTCATAGTGGGATTTATTAAAAAAGATACTTTAGCCTGTATTTTTAAATGCTCTGTGTCATTAAATGTCAATTTTTTTGTGATTTTTATAGATTAGCATACTTTTCTTCAAGACACTTTCCTAATTTGAATCAAAATATAAAGGTAGTTATTACTTGAACGCTTTTAAGAACTATCCATTAATGCAGTGTATAACAAACAGAACAAGTTTTCAGAGATATTGTACCCAGTGCGTTTCCAGAGGTCTTTTTTGCCACGTACCATCCGGCTAT